AATTTAGCTCAAACACTTTGATCTAGCCATTATACTCTACAGTACCAGCCTGTAAAAATACTTCGCAATGAGCAAAAGATAGATGAAAAAGAACACTTTTTGTAGCATTATCTGTAATAGCAAACACACTGTTAACAATCTAAAAGATTTATCATGTGGAAAGAGTTGGGTAAATTATATAGTCCACCTTACTATGGCATTTTACCAGCTGCTACAATGACTTTCTATTGAGCAGGGGGTGGGGAGGGCAGGTTATAGAATACTATGTATGGGATGGTTTCATTTTGTAAAACACACCAAGGACACATGCACATAGAAAAAGAACTTGGGGGGTACCTGGGTGGCTCAGTGGGTTAAACCTCTGCCTTTGGCTCAGGTCATGATCTCAGGGTTCTGGGATCGAGCCCCGCATCAGGCTCTCTGCTGGGCAGGTAGTCTGGGATCGAGCCCCGCATCAGGCTCTCTGCTGGGCAGGTAGCCTGCTTCCCCCTCTCTCTCTGCCTGCCTCTCTGACTACTTGTGATCTCTCTATCTGTCAAATAAATAAATAAAATCTTTTTAAAAAGAGAGAGACAGAACTTGGAAGATACAAAGCAAACAATCATGGCGGTCTCTGGACAGTGGGACTGGGAGAGGGATACTTTCACTTGTTACTTTATATACTGCTGCACCTGTTACTTTTATAAATAAGCATATACTACTTTTGTAACAACAAAAAGTAAGCTTACTGCATAATATTTGGATTAAAAAACAAGTATAAGAAAGTATAAAAATGATATGAAATCTCACTACACAAAGGCAATTGTTAACAACATGTCAACATCTTTTCAGTCCCTGTTACGCATGTTTAATGTATTTGAGATCTTACTCTATGTAATTTAGGGCTTGTTTTTCAATTACTATAATATTGTATTTTCTATTTTATAGAAAATTTAGAGAACAAAGAGCCACAAGAGAATAAAAAGCCCATGTACTCCAACCACCCAAAGATAACTATGTAAGAAAATATGAAATTTGAGTGCTATGAATTATATTGCGAGTAATCCACACACACTGTCATAGATCACGCACACTGTCTCATTGATCTATATGTGGCCCGCTTTTATTTTTATCTATTAAATTATTTTTGTTAATTTTCATAATACTTACACAATTATTAAATAGCCAATGACATGCTTTAACTTATATAATGAACGCCCACCCACCCACTGAACCTAAGCACTAGAATACAGACAATAACTTCTATTCACTTCCCTGATCCTCTCCTATTCCAAGCCCCTTTCCTAAGCCCCAGTGACCATTATCCTGAATTTTTTATTCTCCTTTGCTTTTTAATAAAATATTTTAATCCCAAATATATATGTACACCTAAATAATACAACATTTAGCTTTACTTGTTTTTGAATAATATAGAAATGATGTCCTATTATATGTAGTCTTCTGGGACTTGATACCTTAATTAACATTATAGAAATACAATCTACCCAGATTATGTCTAGCAGTAGGTCATTCATTTCACGGCTGTATAACGTTACAGTGTGTAAATCAACCACAATTTAGTCATTTTCCTTTTCAGATTTTTACTACTAACATGTTAGTGTCACTCTTCTGGTCATTTTTCTGAGGACATTTATACAGTTTCCTTTCTAAAAATTTGAATATTATACATACTTTCATGTGACCTTTTCCTCCCCCTACTGAGATCTTGTGAACATAGTCCCATTTCGGTAAACATTCTTCTGTGGTGTAAACTTAAATGGCTGCATAGTATTCCATCATACAGTTACCACAAAGTTTTATTTAACCTTCCCCAATTGTTGGATGTCTGGATTGCTTATAATTTTTGTTTTTGCTCTGATAAGCATTACGATGTACATATCCCTTGACTCAGCAACTCTCCTTTAAGAGCTTCTCCTAAGTAATAGCTGACCAAATTTGCACCCAGTCATGGCCAGGGTGGAACAGGCGACACGGTTTGTGCTCTGCGCAACTTGTGTAGTGTATGTGCTCATCACAGCAATTTTTAGAAGACAAAAAAAAAAAAAAAAAAAAAAAAAAAAAAAAAAAAAAAAAAAAAAACAACAGAAAGAACCCAATGTCTACTAAAGGAAATAAGTAAGTTATGTATTAAAATCAGAATGTAGACTCACAGCTACTGACATGGAAAGATGTTTACAATTTATTGTTAAGTGGAAATAATGGGTTAAATGGCAGTATGATTTCATTTTGTAAAAGAGAATAAACATGACTCTGAAGGAGGGTGGAAACAATACACCAAAAACTTTATAGCAATTATCTCTAAGTAATGAGTTTATTTGAGATTTTTAACTTTTTCACTTTGCTTGCTTTTATTTTGAAGTATTTTCAACAGTAAAACTTGAATACATGTGTAATAAGATGAATAAATAATGAACTTTCTATGTACAATCATTTAAATTTTTCCTGAATATACTTTCACATTGTAAGAACTTTGGAAGAAAAAAAAGGGAACACCAAGAAGTAAACAAAAATCACACATAATCTTACCCACCTAGAGATAATTAGTTCACAATCTCTAATGTGTTTATTTCTAGTCATTTGTCTCTGATTATATATATTTAAGATAATTGCAATCACACTTTATGTAATCTTGTACGCTGATTTTTCACTTAACATTACATAATATCAACATACCATAAATATTTTAATGAAAGAATATTCCAGCACATGGAAATGGCACATTTACTTAATCATGCCCATAAAGTTAGACCCCTAGGTTTTTCTGTTTTTCACTATACCAAATAACTATGTGAGGAACATCTTTGTGCATGAATTATCCACATTTTAGATGATTTCCTTGAACATATTCATTGAAGTGAAAATACTAAGTTAAAGAGTACCAACGTTTTTATATCCCTTGATATATAGTGCCCTAACCATACTTACTATGTATTTTAAGGCAGCATGGAGTAATAGGGGAAAAAAAGAAGTCAAGATACCTGGATCTCATGCCCATCTTTAGTACTTGCTGTCTAACCTGATTAGGTAAAACTGATATAAAAACATCCATCTTAATAATCAAATAAAAAAAATAAATCCTTCACTCACCATAAATGTTACTTCCTCAGGAATGCTTTCCTTCACTTTCTAGATGAAAGTGAAGGAAACATGCTCTTGCAACAACTGATAAATAATTGTTCAATTATTTGTACACTGTCAGTTCCCTAGGTGATCTTAAGCTCCTTTGAAATATGCCTGGCCCACAGCTGGTGCTCAATAAATATTTGTTGAATGAATTAATGAATGAATGAGTAGATAAATGATGGATGAAATGACAACACTTTGCAAAATAAGTGACTAGATATTTGGAAGGTATTTCAATTTCAATAATAATTATTATTATGATTCATTTGTATTACTATGTAGATGATTCCAAATCTTTAGAGATTCCTTGTCTAACCATAATTTCATTATGTAGCTTTAATGTTTGTCAAGCCAGCCAGAGACATGGTAGCCATGTTGCTGGAAGCACCTGGTAGGAGCTGAGATTTGGGAGAACCAAGTAGTTAGTTCTCCAGGTCAGCAAGCTGAGAGTCAGGGAGTTGTAGTTACCATTAGTTGAATGCAAAGCAGTGGTCAGGAATCTAGGAGGTCAGTGATATTTGAAGAAACAGGTGAATCCTAGAGGTCAGAAACAAACTAATGGTAAATGGTCTAGATAATAAGGTGCAAAGTTGAGAATGGTCAGTGATAAGGGATGAAAGTAGATGGGAGAGTCAAATTCCAAGCATCAGTACTCAGAGCATGGAGCTGTGAATATGATTCTAAAGCAAATGGTACTTGAACTCAGTGCTTCCTTAATTATTTCTTCCTTATATTATTTCTGCCCAAATGGTATTAGGAAGTATTTGTGTCTAGTTCCATATATATGGCAAGGAAATAATAGTAGCTAGTTGAGGAATGAGATCTGTGAATACAAATAGGTTCTGATAGTGAGAGGATGAAGCAAGACCATTTGTAAATAAGATCTGATAATAGTTTGCACATAAAATAGGAGCAATCATGCTTTGGATCCCATAATTCTCAACTTGACTTTCAACAGCAGATATTATAGCACAGTGGTTAGGATCATGGACTCTGGCCAACAGGCTAGCTGGGTTCAGTAGGCTAGCCAGCTCTATCATTTATTAGTTGTGTCCTTTGGAAAATTACTTCCCCTCTGTGTGTTAGTTTCATCATCTGTAAAATGGGGATAATATTACCTACACCTCAATGGGTTCTTGTGAAGATTAAATGAGGGGATGTGCGTAAAGACCTTAGAACAGTGCCTGGACGTAGCAAATGCTATGTTAAGTGTTGTTATTATTATTGTTGTTGTTATTATTAACCAGTCTCATAAGACCAAACAAAAATTGGCAGTATAAGAAATAGACAAATACACTGTATTAACATACTCTAAAATAATAAACAGTCTCTAAACAGGAGTTTTTTTCACTAAAATAAGAATTTCATTTGCACCTAATCATAGTTGACTATATAAAAACTATAAGCATTAGCAAAGTAGCAAAATTTATCACAGTAATCCCAGCGATGTGTTTATTTTATAGAAGATGTTTTATGAACACTATCTTTAAAAGCTGTAAATAAATACACATTTCCTAGTAGCAAAAAACACTATTAAGCTGCAATACAGTTGATCCATAGAATCTGGTCTATAAGAAGGAAAGCCTTATTAAATTTTCTGAAGCTAATTCTACTGGAAGCAGGATTATTTGTGTTGGAAGACCTGTCTGTGGAAAAATCTGAACATGGAAAGGCTCGGACTTGGGAAGACTCCTTTTAAAAAGGTCTGGCCCTGGGGAATGGTCAGGAAGACCTGGACTATGGAACATGTTAGAATACCTGGATATCGTAGACGCTGGAAGACCTGAATGTTAGAAGACCGGTATCCTGGAGACGTTGGAAGACGTGGATATTGAGCCCGCTGTTGGAAGACTGGGTAGTTGTCGGAAGACGTGGAGATGCCGGAAGACGAGCAGATTCTGGAAGACGCAGGGATGCCGGAAGACGCAGAGATGCCGGAAGATTCAGGGATGCCGGAAGACTCAGAGATGCCAGAAGACGCAGAGATGCCGGAAGATGCAGAGATGCCGGAAGATGCAGAGATGCTGGAAGGCGAGCAGATGCTGGAAGCCCTGGAGATGCTGGAAGCCCTGGAAATGTAGGAAGACAAGGATTTTCTGGAAGACGTGGCTTAGTTGGAAGACGTGGATGTTCTGGAAGACGTGGATTTTCCGGAAGACGTAAATTTGTTGGAAGACGTAGGTAGGCTGGAAGACATGAATTTGATGGAAGACACACAGCTTTGTTGGAAGACAAGGATTTGCTGGAAGACGTGAATTCTGGAAGCCATGGATTTTCAGGAAGACACGGATTTTCTGGAAGACTTGGAGGTCATTGGAAGACATGGATTTCCTGGAAGACATGTTCTTTTTCTGGAAGACGTGGATTTTCAGGAAGACCCGAATTGTCCGGAAGACCTGGATTTTTTGGTGGAAGACGTAGATTTGCTGGAAGACCTGGAGGTTACTGGAAGACATGGATTTTCCGGAAGACGTGGATCTCTAGGAAGACGTATATTTGTTGGAAGACCTGGATTTAGTGGAAGACATAAATTTTCTGGAAGACGTGGCTTTATTGGAAGACCTGGATATATTTAGTGGAAGACATAAAATTTTGTCTGGAAGACGTGGACTGACTGGAAGACTGGATTTGGTGGAAGACATGGATTGACTGGAAGACCTGGATTTTTCCGGAAGATATGGATTTGACGGAAGACATAGATTTTTCTGGAAGATGTGGATGGAGTGGAAGACCTGGATTTCTTTCTGGAAGACATCAATTGACTGGAAGACCTGGATTTTTCTGGAAGACATAAGTTAGCTGGAAGACTTGGATTTGGTGGAAGACATAGTTTTTTCTGGAAGACGTGGATTGGCTGGAAGACCTTGAAATTGCTGGAAGACGTGGATTGTCTGGAAGACCTTGAAAACATTGGAAGACATAGATTTTCTGGAAGACGTGGATTTTCCTGGAAGATACAGATGTTGTGGAAGACCTATAATTACTGGAAGACATGGATTATCTGGAAGACGTGAATTTTCTGGAAGACTAGGATTAGCTGGAAGACCTTGATGCTGTTGGAAGACTTGGAATTTGTTGGAAGACTTGGGAGTTTCTGGAAGACCTGGAGTTGTTGGAAGACCTTGACACTGGCGCCATTGGAAACCCTGGACATTGGAGAGATTGGAAGCACAGGATGTTGGAGACATTGGAATCCTTGGATTTTGTGGACATTGGTTATTCTGGATACTGGAGACTTTGGAGACCCTGAACGTTGGAATTCATGGGTATGGGAAACCCTGACTACTAGAGACATTATAATTCCTGTACCTTGGAGGCCCTAAACATTGGAAGATATAGACAATAGAAGATATAGACATTTAGAGACCCTAAAATTGGAAGTCCTGGATATTAGGAGACATTTGGAAAACATGGGTATTGACACATTCTTGTTGAGACACAGAATTTGGAAGCTGTAATTTTCATGATGCTGGAAGTCACAGATTTTGGCAGCCCTAGACAGGAGATTTGGATTAAGATGTCAGGATGTTAAAAAACCTAGTCATTCAGACACTGGGGATGTTGGAACACTTCAACATTAGAAGACCAGGTTCTTGGAGATATTGAAAGACTTGGATGGTGGAACTGGTGATAATGAGACACTATAAAACCAGAATTTAGGAGACACAGAAGGTTGTATGACTGAATGATGTAAGCACTGGAAGATATTAGAAGAGCTGGACTTGGACACAATGAAACACGTGGACTCTAGAAGACCTGTATATAGGAGACACTGGAAGATTGGAAACATAGAAAAATCAGAACTTAGAACTCTGGACCCAGAAAGACAAGACCTGGATCTTGAAGACTGTTGGAGAAAGCAGAGGACCTAGACTTTTAATTTCCCTGATATTGAGGAGATTAGAAAACCCACATTGGAGATGCTTCAGGCCAGATAATGGAAGACATGGGTTAGTTGTAACATTTAGAAGATCTGGCAATTGGAGATGTTGGAAGCTATGGTGCTCAGAAAACCTGATGTCAGAGACACGAAAGAATTGAAAGTCCTAATCTTAGAGATGTTAGAAGGTCATGTTGACAGATACTGGCAATGTTGAAAGACTTTCACATTAGGACCTGATACAACATTTAAAGAACTATCAGAAGGCTACTCTAATAGTCTTTATGACTATGACATCTCTTTCCCTAACAATCAAAACACAGAGAAAGGACATTTTAAGAAGGCAACAAAGAGGAAGCAGGAAATTCAAGTAAAAGCAGGTAGTTTGAACAGGTTGGAACCTATTTTCATGGTCTCTGTGAACTAGCTTTCTAGGTCCATACTGTTTGACAGGAGGGAAATGATGAGTTATCAAAGAATAAGCAATATCAAGGTTTGGAAACTACTTGGCTTTAGATAGGAGTCAGCAAATGTTTTCTACAAATAGTTAAGTTTTTAAAGGCCATGTGGTTTCTATTGCAACTACTCAACTCTGTCATTATAGTGTAGCCATAAAACAAGTGTTTATGGTTGCTCTGCAATAATATTTTATTTAAAAAAAAAGTTGGACCAGATTTTAATCAAGGGCCCTAGTTTTCCAAGCCCAACTCTTTATGCCAAATCTAGGGTATAGTAAGTATATTAAGTACATTCCAGGCTAGCATTCACATGCAAGAGAATGGACAGAGTACTTTGTAACCTGATGGTTCATAAACATACTATGTACGTGCTAATGCTCAGGACATGAGACTAGCAAGAACCTAAGAATGGAGTTTCGGTCTCCACTTACTTGTTTCAGGGACCTAACAAGGATATTTGTCTTCAGAGTCAAAATTAAATGGGTAGCATCCAGGACCCCAGGCAAGAGGGGCTAGGGTTCCGGGGTTTCCGGGCAGATAACCTAATTTGGTAGACTGGAAGCTTAAAAAGAAAATTAAAGAAGAAAGTCATTTTTACAGACTGGGACTATCCTTCCAGGACTAAGCACCACTCAACCCAAAGAGAGGGAGTTTCCAGCGCAGGGCAGACAAGAAGTAGCAAAGCCCTCACTCTATCTCCCATGTGCTTCTCATTAGGGCACTCCTCTCATACCACTGCCAAGTAATCAGGAGCCCACTCTGTTTGTAATGATGGAGGAGAAAGGAAGCAGACTACAGCTTTGTATTCTCATCTCCGGCACTCTGGCTTCAGGTAAGAAGTCTAAATTCTGCTCATACCCACCAGAGCTTAAGTGACAAACTTAGGAGATCAGGGTTGAGTGGCAGGCTGAAGATCCTTAGTGCTTAGTCAGATAGGGCTGAGGAAGACACAGACTATCACATATATTGTATGAAAGAGAACACTGACAGACAAACCCAGTTCCAGTACCCTGGATCTGGGTCGTGATTTAAAGGTGAAGTAGGGGAATATACAGACAATGGGCAGTCACTGAGGCTATATACACTAGGGCATCAAAGACTCCCAGTTAAGACAGTAAAAGGGTTGGGATATGAGTCAGGAGGCCACCATGATAATCCAGGTGAAGTGGTAATGGGGCCTGGAAATAAGGCAATGACAGCTCTGTTGCTCAACAGATCCAGCACTGGGGTTATGATGAATACTCATCATTCTGAAAAGAATGACTTTAAACTTCCTGAAAGCTATCAGAGAACATGAAATAACCAAGATGTTCAGATGCTAGTTAGGAGGAATTGTCCTCACCAAGTAACACCACGTGGATATCCAATTTTCTCTCAAAAGCAGCTAAGCTAATAACTTGGTGGTTTAAGCAAAGTAGGTTCTGCATAGTTTTATCTTTAGCTACTATTAACACAGGGTGACTTCATTATCTCCAAAGTAGACCCAAGTGGATGGATTATTTTCTAGAGAACAGGAATATAACCATGTGAAAAAAGTCATTAAAAGTAACCACTATATAAATAAATATCATGCAATGATAACTACATTCTAAATAAGTGATATAAATGAAGCTGCAAGTCAGAGAGTAACACAGGGACAAAGGAAGTACTGTTTCAGGTCTCTTTCACAAGCAAGAAAAATACTGAAAATCAATTCTTATTCCTTCTCTCTTCTTAAAACCATCATGCATACCATTTTTGAGAGGAATTAGATAAAATACCAAAATATTAAAATTTTGCAAAGGCAGGAGTAAACTATCATATTTAGCTCTATAATGCTTATAATAACAATAACAATAATGGTGATGATAATCATAACAATATGTAATAGCAACAATTTATTGAGCGCTTGCTATGTGCCAGGCACTGTATTAAGCATTTCTTGTAATCTCATAGCAATCTAACAATGCAGGTATTTTGACCCCATTTTACAGATTAGAAACTCAAGTCTGAAATGGTTAAGAAGCATGCCCGCCATCACATAGTTGGTAGCTGGCAGGGACAAGATTGAAGGCAGGTCTGACTCCACAGCCTAGGCCCTGGGCTGACTTGTCACACCCCGATAGCCCAAGGGTTATGGTGCCAGGACTAAGCACCACTCATCCGAAGAGAGGGAGTCCCCCCCGCCCAGGGCAGACAAGAAGCCAGTGGCAAAGCCCCCCTTACCTAAGTCCCATGTTCTTCTCAGTATGGCCCTCATCACACCACTGCCAACTGACCAAGAGCCAACTCTGAGTGTTTGCAAAAGTAGGTTAATTGTATCACTGGCTTTACACAGTAATGTAAGAGGAAGTGCGATGTCTCAAGCACAACTAGATTCCTATTTAACTCCTCAACATTCATTGTTCATGTTAATGAAATGTACTGTTTTGCCTTTATTTGATGTTACGGCTCCAAGAACATATATACTCTGTTCATACCACAATTTATTTCTGGATTCTTAAACAAGCATAGAGCACTGACATCAAGACCATTAAAAGGTAACTCTATGTAAAGTTCAGTGATCAATTATTCCATAGCACAAACATGGTTCACACACCCCTTTAGACTACACACACTCTCGAAGCCCTTTATCAGCATTCAGGTGGCAGCAGCTCTGAAATCCAAATGTGTGCGTTTGCAAATGTGTGCAGAACCTCCTCTGCATTTTGAACTTAAAAGATCTTAAACAAACAAAAGGTTCTTTTTAAATATAAAACCAGTTTTTTAATATTCTCTACAAAGTTCAGCAACTTGGGCTGCTCTTTCTCCCCACCTCCTTTTCCATTCTTTTCTTTTTGCCAGTGGTTAAGTATGTCTGTAAAGAAGAAAACTGCTAGGCACTTTGTAACACTGAACCCAAGAATTTACCTGAACCATTTGATTCCACCCAAATTGTGTATAAAATCTTCTAAAAGAAATTTCAGCTTGTCAATTTCGGGGACTATTCTTAATTTGAAAAAGGAAAAAAAGAAACACCCAGTTACATGCACTTCTATTTCTACCACTTTGCCCATACCACCTTTCAAATTCACCTGTAAGTTCTGCTGACTTGTTAAATTCAGCCATGTTGAAATGTTCTGGCTTTTATCCTCATCAATGATACGTCTTAGATTATTTTAACTGGGTATTACCTTAAACAAGAATTAGATTTATCTCAGTAATGTATTTCCAATGGTCTGGTCCCTAGACAAAAGTTTGCATCTATCAAGTCAAAGTCTAGGCATCCCTATGACAACTAAATCCATACAGTAGTCAGTTTCCCATTGTATTATTTTATATTAATGGTTCCCAGTTGATGCTCTCCAACTTAAATTTGATTTCTCTAATTCTAGTCAAATTAAGAGAAAAAATTCCAAGGCAGTATTCTCAATGAATGGTAAAATTTATCAGGAAACTACATTCTCTAAAGGCATATGGAACCATTGATAAAACTGGTAAAATAATCATTGACTTAAAACTATTTACCTCTAG